CGAGTGCACTCGGCCAAGTTTGCCAGGCGCGCATCTTCCAAGGCGCGAGCCTCGAGGGTTTCTCCAACGATAGGAGTGTGCAGTGCATCCACGTTCTGGCGGCGAAGTTCTTCTCTCTGCAGCGACGTGAGAGGCTCGGGAAGATACTCCTCATGGGGACGCGACGGGTCGCCTCCACCCGCGCCTCCGTTGGTGCGGGGAAAATCGGGAGGACTGGGCGGTCCATCGACCATCAGAACCTCCGCCGCCGGATCGCTGCTGTCGCAGTCGGATGCGGTCTCTGCGGAGCCAGTCGACAGGTCGAACAGGCCGTAGAGGGATTCGTCGGGCTCGATCACCGCGACTTGAGGGGTGGCCGACTGACGTGCCACCGCGTGTCTCACCCACCGCTAAAGTCTCGACCGACCGGAGCGCTTGCGCCGGCGGGAAACGGGAGGGAGGACAACACAGGAGCCGACCGGTAGGGGGTCGACGGTTGCCGCAGGAGAACGCCGCGGATGCACGCGCTAAAGTGCGTTGCCCCGCGAATAGAGAGTGCGTCCACGTCGAGCGGAGCCTCCTGGAGCCAAGCAGAGTCGTCGACGATGAACGTGAGCGCACCGAGACGGATCTCGCGGCCCTCCACCAAAACTCCGCCGAAAACCATGATGATTCGGGTCGGAAAAGGTCGCAACTCCTCCAACAAACGCTAAAACACCTGCCCCACGATGGGCGCCAACTGTCGTGGTTCCAAGTCTGACAGTAGTGTAGGGGGGTAAGTATGGAGAGGCAAGATTTTAGCTATGGAGGAGTTGTAAGAATGCAAGGTTTACGAGTTCAGGCCCTTCTCGGAGAAAGTAATAGCCCTACGTCTCGGAGCCCGGAGGCGGTCGACTGGATTATGAGAGTATGAATTACAGGGGTGCGAACCCTTTTCTTGGAGGAGGGGGTGGCTTATATAGAGTGCGCCAGGACCCCAGCCGACCCACGTTACAAAGGGTTCAATGTACATTAAGGCAGGGCGTTACTGGTAACGCTAGTAATAAAGTGCTATGATGACCATAAAAGCTACTTAATAACCGACCGTTAGCATGCGGAGTGCCTTTTGTCCACCTAACCGTCGAGTGGCTTGGTCTTGGTCGAGTGATTGCTTCTTGGTCGAGTATCTTCAAGTCTGTCGAGTGAGACGCCTTCAAGTCGATTGAAAGATGATTTCTTCTGAAGATGTCCTTGGGTAGGTCAGTTTGGACAGGTCCATGACCCTACCCTAGGTACACAGCTTCATCACTCCAGTTGAAGAGCTTGAAATGGTCGAGTGATTGAAGTGACAACCCGGAGTTAAGAGTATTCTAGTGCTTCTAGAGCTTCTAGCGTCCAAAAGACTCTTTGATTGAAAGGATTCAGAAACAATTTGAAGGATTTCAATCTCCTCAAACCACATGTGAAGAATCTTTTGTGTTTTCATACACAATCTAATATATCTGCAATCTTGTGGTGATGAAGATGACACACTACCGTGTTTCTATATTTTTTTTCTTCTATTCTTACGTTTTAAAAATCCGGAGAATCTTCTAGTGTCCAAGTCAAAACCTTAAGATATATGACTAGAGGGCTCGGAGTCTACCAATCGACAACTCCGAGCCGATAGACACTTGTTGCATAGGGCTTGGAGTGTACCAGTCGACAACTCGAGTGTCCAAGCCGATAGACATCTAGTTGCATGTATTGTATAGGTCGAATGTCCTTTCTGAAAATCTTTAGCACATTGTGTTTTGGGTTTAAAGGAACCTGCAAAATTTGTAATTGCTAGTTCCCTCTACCCTCATTAGTAAGTTCATGCCTTTTCGTAGAAACTAGAAAGTACCATAGACAATATACATTACCGCATACAATATATTTCGTTAAACATCTTATGCTCATACCGTTGCACATAAGGAATATACTGGAAAGGAATGCTATTACAAGACATATGAACTATGTCAAAAGGTTGACCAGATACAGATTAAATGAGCGAGACTTTTTAGTGGACACCTAGCCCCCCTATATGCTCACACCCAAGTTCAAGAAAATGACTGAACGTACCAAGCATCAGACGCATCATGGTTCACGCGATCACACTGAATCAATACATATAGTTATTTCACAACAAGTACATTGTATGATCAAGATATTTGTGATTATTTGTTGTTTTGTTACTTTTATTTTTGATTATTGCCTTATCCCCCCCCCCCCTCCTTCTGCCTAAATCTTGGATACGATTCTCAACGA